GGACAAGTGGCAGTGAGGGAGTGTGAGTGGCGGTGAGGGAGGGAGGGCAAGTGGCAGTGAGGGACGGAGGGCAAGAGGCAGTGAGGGAGGGAGGGCAAGTGGCAGTGATTGAGGGAGGGAGGGCGAGTGGTAGTGAGGGAGGGAGGGTGAGTGGTAGTGAGGGAGGGAGGGTGAGTGGCAGTGAGGGAGGGAGGGCGAGTGGCAGTGAGGGAGGGAGGGTGAGTGGTAGTGAGGGAGGGAGGGTGAGTGGTAGTGAGGGAGGGAGGGAGGGCGAGTGGCAGTGAGGGAGGGAGGGCGAGTGGCAGTGAGGGAGGGAAGGAGGGCGAGTGGCAGTGAGGGAGGGAGGGAGGGCGAGTGGCAGTGAGGGAGGGAGGGAGGGCAAGTGGCAGTGAGGGAGGGAGGGAGGGTGAGTGGCAGTGAGGGAGGGAGGGAGGGAGGACGAGTGGCAGTGAGGGGGAGGGAGGGAGGGCGAGTAGCAGTGAGGGAGGGAGGGTGAGTGGCAGTGAGGGAGGGAGGGAGGGAGGGAGGGCAAGTGGCAGTGAGGGAGGGAGGGAGGGCAAGTGGCAGTGAGGGAGGGAGGGAGGGAGGGAGGGCAAGTGGCAGTGAGGGAGGGAGGGAGGGCAAGTGGCAGTGAGGGAGGGAGGGAGGGCAAGTGGCAGTGAGGGAGGGAGGGAGGGCAAGTGGCAGTGAGGGAGGGAGGGAGGGCAAGTGGCAGTGAGGGAGGGAGGGAGGGAGGGAGTGGCAGTGAGGGAGGGAGGGAGGGCAAGTGGCAGTGAGGGAGGGAGGGAGGGAGGGTGAGTGGCAGTGAGGGAGGGAGGGCGAGTAGCAGTGAGGGAGGGAGGGTGAGTGGCAGTGAGGGAGGGAGGGCAAGTGGCAGTGAGGGAGGGAAGGAGGGAAGGCAAGTGGCAGTGAGGGAGGGAGGGAGGGCGAGTGGCAGTAAGGGAGGGGGGAGGGAGGATGAGTGGCAGTAAGGGAGGGGGGAGGGAGGACGAGTGGTAGTAAGGGAGGGGGGAGGGAGGACGAGTGGCAGTGAGGGAGGGCGAGTAGTAGTGAGGGAGGGAGGAAGGGAGGGAGGGCGGGCGAGTGGCAGGGAGGGATGGAGGCCGAGTGGCAGCGAGGGAGGGAGGGAGGGAGGGAGGGCGAGTGGCAGTGAGGGAGGGCAAGTGGCAGTGAGGGAGGGCGAGTGGCAGTGAGGGAGGTCGAATGGCAGTGAGGGAGGGAGGGCGAGTGGAAGGGAGGGAGGGAGGGAGAGGGGGGGCGAGTGGAAGTGAGGGAGGGAAAGCAAGTGGCAATGAGGGAGGGAGGGAGGGCGTGTGACAGTGAGGGAGGGAGTGAGGGTGAGTGGCAGTGAGGGAGGGAGGTAGGGTGAGTGGCAGGGAGGGAGGGCGAGTGGCAGTGAGGGAGGGAGGGAGAGTGGCAGGGAGGGAGGGAGGGAGGGCGAGTGGCAGTGAGGGGAGGGAGGGAGGGAGAGTGACAGTGAGAGAGGGCGAGGGAGTGTGACAGTGAGGGAGGGCGAGTGACAGTGAGGGAGGGAGGGCTAGTGGCAGTGAGGGAGGGAGGAAGGGAGGGCGAGTGGCAGTGAGGTAGGGAGGGAGGGAGGGCGAGTGGCAGTGAGGGAGGGAGGGAGGGCGAGTGGCAGTGAGGGAGGGAGGGAGGGAGGGCGAGTGGCAGTGAGGGAGGGAGGGAGGGAGGGCGAGTGGCAGTGAGGGAAGGAGGGAGGGCGAGTGGCAGTGAGGGAGGGAGGGAAGGCGAGTGACAGTGACGGAGGGAGGGAGGGAGGGAGGGAGGGCGAGTGACAGTGAGGAAGGGAGGGCGAGAGACAGTGAGGGAGGGAGGGCTAGTGGCAGTGAGGGAGGGAGGAAGGGAGGGCGAGTGGCAGTGAGGTAGGGAGGGAGGGAGGGCGAGTGGCAGTGAGGGAGGGAGGGCGAGTGGCAGTGAGGGAGGGAGGGAGGGAGGGCGAGTGGCAGTGAGGGAGGGAGGAAGGGAGGGCGAGTGGCAGTGAGGTAGGGAGGGAGGGAGGGCGAGTGGCAGTGAGGGAGGGAGGGAGGGAGGGAGGGCGAGTGGCAGTGAGGGAAGGAGGGAGGGCGAGTGGCAGTGAGGGAGGGAGGGAGGGCGAGTGGCAGTGAGGGAGGGAGGGAGGGAGGGCAATTGGCAGTGAGGGAGGGAGGGAGGGAGGGCGATTGGCAGTGAGGGAGGGCAAGTGGCAGTGAGGGAGTGAGGGCGAGTGGCATTGAGGGAGGGAGGGCGATTGGCAGTGAGGGAGGGAAGGAGGGCGAGTGGCAGTGAGGGAGGGAGGGCATGTGGCAGTGTGGGAGGGAGTGAGGGAGGGCGAGTGGCAGTGAGGGAGGGAGGGAGGGCAAGTGGCAGTGAGGGAGGGAGGGAGGGCAAGTGGCAGTGAGGGAGGGAGGGAGGGCGAGTGGCAGTGAGGGAGGGAGGGAGGGCGAGTGGCAGTGAGGGAGGGGGGGATTTAGGGAGGGAGGGAGGGAGGGAGGGAGGGAGGGCGAGTGGCAGTGAGGGAGGGAGGGAGGGCATGTGGCAGTGAGGCAGGGAGAGAGGGTGAGTGGCAGGGTGGCAGTGAGGCAGGGAGAGAGGGTGAGTGGCAGGGAGGGAGGGAGGGAGGGAGAGCGAGAGGCAGTGAGGGAGGGAGGGAGGGAGGGAGGGAGGGAGGGAGGGAGGGAGGGAGGGAGGGAGGGAGGGAGGGAGAGCGAGTGGCAGTGAGGGAGGGAGGGAGGGCGAGTGGCAGTGAGGGAAGGAGGGCGAGTGGCAGTGAGGGAGGGAAGGCGAGTGGCAGTGAGGGAGGGAAGGCGAGTGGCAGTGAGGGAGGGAAGGCGAGTGGCAGTGAGGGAGGGAAGGCGAGTGGCAGTGAGGGAGGGAGGGCGTGTGGTAGTGAGGGAGGGAGGGCGTGTGGCAGTGAGAGAAGGAGGGAGGGAGAGTGGCAGTGAGAGAAGGAGGGAGGGAGAGTGGCAATGAAGAGTGAGGGTGAGTGGCAATGAGGGAGGGAGGGTGAGTAGTAATGAAGAAGGGAGGGAGGGTGGCAATGAGGGAGGGAGGATGAGTAGTAATGAAGGGGGGAGGGAAAGTGGCAATGAGGGAGAGAGGAACCACCACAGTCGCTGGCAGAAAATGCACATGAGAAAGAAAAAGCTTAAACAGGTGGCCAGAAAACAGTCACACAAATATATATATATTTAAACATATATATATATGTGTGTGAACATATATATAAAGATATACACATACACATAAATATACACACAGAGAATATACACACAAATATACATACACAGATAAACGACATCAGGGAAAAAAACTACCTGAAGGAGGTGAAAAAAAACCCTTAAATCGCGAGCGCACACTCCCAGCCACATGTAAGCAAACAAGATGCTGCGCTGCCCTGGCAGCCGGGCAGAGAAGTGCATGCAGAAGAGCAAAATGTTCACCAAAATAAAAAAGCCAAGGCGATGCCCCTGAAGATACGGCGCCGAAATCACGCCTGCAAATGAGCAAAACCAACACAGACGGGACGAAAAAACCCAACCCTGTAGGTGCAAGAGCCTAAGCTCTGCAGGCAGGCTCCCTCCAAAGCCCCGGGGACCCTTGACAGGGGCCCCACGGCAGAGCCGTCCTTAATGCCCTGCACTATTGAAGAAAATGCAGAGTCCAAGGGAAAGGCATCAAGGAAAGGGTCCTGCTGGAAGGACCCATAAGTCTCGGTGGGAGGAACAGGCTAGAATGCCTACGTCCCCACAGCAAATGGGGTGACCCCCGGAGCTGCCCGAATCTCATCCTCAGCTAAATCCTGCCTGACCCCGAAACCCTCAGATGTTTGGGAGCCGGCAGCAGGCAGGGGGTGCATGGGAGGTTGGAAGAGAAACGTGAACCACCAACAAGGGAAGGACGAAGGGGCGTGGACTGAACCAAAGTCGAAGCGAGCACCACCACCAAGTGTGGGTCCCTAAAACCGAAACAGGGCAGCCCCTGGGCATTTGAGTGGTCAACCAACCTAGCACTCCGGGTCGAAGGTGTTAGTGACCTATCAAGCAGCATAACAGAGGCAGATCGTCACTCTGAGACAGGAGCAACGAACAACCCTCAAACTCGCACAAGACGAGATGGAGCTCAGAGGACACGTCCATTGGTCAACCAAGCCCCGACAGGGGTTTCCAGGGCCCACAGGGGGGATGTGTCCCTACGGAAAGCCCAGGCACTGGTGCTGCCAAAGCCAGTTGTAACCAATATATTATCCTGGCAAACTGACCCCTGTGAGGTGAGCAACCTCGAAGGCCCAGAGGGTGGCTGCCCTACTGAACCTAAGTATTACCTAATAGGCACCCTGGCAGCTTCCCAACTGGCAATAAAGAAAACTAAAAGTAGGAAAGAGAACCCCGAGGAAGCACCACAACCCAGGAGACCAGAAAGAGTCACGGCCACAGAGATTATGCAAGCTGGGTAGCACAGTGCACCCCAACCAGCAAGAACCATTCCCTATCCAAGGCCAAATGAAAGTACCTCCTTGATTGGGTTCTGGGTGTTCTTCTACTTCCCAAGCCTGGCCTGACTTGTGAGAGCTTGGTCCACTAGGCTGTTGCTTGGAGCGGCCCGCAGGCCCACATATCCACCACAGCCAGGTTGGTTCGGAACTCCTTGGATAAAATTATCTAGTTTTCTCTTAAATACCGAGACTTAAGCTGACCCGAAGGGCGAGGCAGAAAGCCAAGCAGTTGCTACCTCTACAGGAATTGTGACCCAAAGGACCGAGAGAAGAGGACCCCTGAACCACAAGGGGTGTACTCACAGGGTGTTTAAGGAAGGGAGCCCTAAGCACATGCAGCCCTTGGTACGAACTCCTGACCACCACCAATATAGCTAATATCTATATTAGATAGCTAATATATTAGATAGCTAATATCAGTCCAATAGCTCCAGGGAGTTGACAGAGCTCCCCCATAGAAAAGGGGCATGATATCGACATAAAACATTTTTTAAGTATTTTTACTCACTTGCAGAATAATAAAGCTTCCTCTCTTGGTAACCAAAACCTTCTGCTGTTCCTCACTTCTTCCTGGGATTGTCAATGATACCCCTGCCATTACCTGAGTGATGATCTCCACAAGAAAAGAAACAACTGCTGGCAAACTGGCATGCTGCAAAAGTGGAGCCAAAATCTTCTCCATTATATTTTGCCTGAAATATGAAATTACATAGTTACTAAGTGCGATACTGCACATGCAAGCAAATACTGTACACACACACACACACGATAAATGATCAAAATAATAATTAAATTGTTTTCAGTTACCGAGTTATCATCCCATTTCCTAATTTCAAGGGCAGTGGCGAGTAAAGGGATACAGCAGAACAGAAAGAGACACTAGATATTCAAAATAACTCAAGCATCCACATCTGCCAAACAAAACATCATTGCAAAGCTTGCTTCCTAAGCCTACACTCTGATGCTACCCACTGAGAAAAAACAGAGCCTCTACAAATTCCCTTTGCTCTTTCTATGGAGCTTGGAGCACATGGAAATCAGAAACCAACATGGTACTTGGATAAACTGCCTGCACAAGCATTAAAAGGTTACAAAATACTCAACTTTCTTCAGATTTTTTTTTTTTTTTTTTGCAAGTGATAAATTATCAACTAAAAACTTCAGAACTAGTTACTAAGTGCAACACTCAGATTGCCCCTCTACCACTTGGTACACACTGGCTATGAATGCAGACCAATCTACTATCGAGATCAAGCTACCTCTGCAGGAAAGAAGCACAGGACAAGGCGAGAACTGGAAGCAGTGCCCAGAAAGAGGCATTTCACTACACTTAATACAGTACTATATTTCTGGGCAGACCCTTCAACAGCTTCTCCAAGCTATCTCAACATGGCACCAAACAAGATATAACCATGCAATGTTATTTTAAGATCAAACTAAAATTAACAAACAAGAAACCAAATGAAGGATGCAATTTGCACATCACAGAAGAAGCCCAGCCAATAAGACCCAAGGTTAAAACATGTGTCTGGAGATATAACTGCCAAAACCTACAGTTCAGTCACCAAACATCCTGGTACCTAATATTGGTTGTGAAAGGATAGAAAAGACTGATATGAGAGCAGCATATTTCCTAACATAATTGGCTCTAAGAGACATAGCAGTCTGGCTGAAGTAGTCCACTCTGGATACAATTTGTAACGAATGGACCACTGAACAGGATAAACCAGAGTGAAGATGGAGAAAGTGCCATCAGCAGAGGAATTTCATGTAGTGCACACTATCACTGAACTGTAGCTACAGGGCACAGATATAATGAACCCATAGCTCAACAAACCAAACCTCACTAACCACAAGCCACAATGAAAGGCTGACAACACACTGATAACTAAGGAGTGCCATTTCTTCCACCAACAACAAATCATGTAATGGTGATAATGGCACTGCATATCTCAGTAAGTTAGACTGGTAAGATAATCTCCAATTATCCTTCAAAAATGTGGAAAACCATTTCGTATAAAAAATATACAAATACAAATATTATGTACTGTATTTGTAATACATAATATTACAAATATGAAATTTGAATAAGAAATATACACATACCTGATTATCTGTTTAACACATGATTCATCAGTAAACATAGAAAACACAAGTTTGAGAGTTTCTAGTTGTTTGGATACTGGTTGCCTCTTCATAAATTTTTCAAGTGATTCGGTCATAATGTCTTCATAACGGTGTTTTTCCTCACGACAGAAGAGGCTGAAAAATGTGAAGTTTTATTTGGCATTTCATAAACTCATGATACTGTACAAACAATAAAGAACTATGGATAAGACTCATTCAGGAATCTGCTTGCATGCTACTGCCTTGTGACAAATCAGGCTTAAAGGGGTTAAAGTGAAATTTTGTTTGACTTACTGGTAATCTTGGTGACTTGTCAGAAAATTTTAAATTCATTGTCCCACATTGCCTGTTATTTTTTAGACCTAAGTATCCACTCGATTTAACGGCCTATATGCGACTGCACCCAGGCCATTAACTGAGGGGCTCCGCTAAATCCGGAGATGCTGAAATGTCAGTAATATTTCAAGTAACATTCAGGCCCCTGACGTAAGTTTTATATAACGAAAATTATATAAATATCAGTGTGTAATTGTCTTCCAAATAAGTGATGCGCCGACGAATAAGTCAGCTGTCGGATGCTACATGGCTGATGCATGAAGACATTCTGATCAAGTACAGATTGGTGAAAACAAACAGCATTTAATGTAATGAAATGCCATTTTTTGGGTGAGACCTAGAGGCTCCCCAGAGCTAACCAGGCTGATATAAATATTAGACTCTGGCATCAGTCAATGCACATGGACTTCTAGGCCTACCGGGTACCACGAGCCAGAACCTGGGCCCCCCTCAGAGAGGCACGAGGAGCAATGCCCTATAGTTTCTATGTCTGTCATAAACCGAGTCAGGCCCCCAGAAAGGTAAGCGCCCCAAAACAAACCCCTATTCTGATTAAAATATTGCTACTGAAAGCTGAACTAGTGGACAAAACTCCCCAAATAAAAACGAGCAAAAGAGCATGATGTCACCACATCACCGCACCGCTGTCTGCACAACTCCTCCTCCCCATAAGGGGGAAGGGCGGAGCCCCAGACCTCCGCACCAACTATCCAAACCCCTAGTTCTGAGGCTAGATGTCAAAACACACAAAAAACCTACAACAGGAGGGAGGGAGGGAGGGTTGCTGTGGAGCCTCCGGGTCTCGCCCAGAAAATTGCATTTCATTACATTCAATTCTGGTTTTCTGGGGGGGAGCCCCGTCGGCTCACCGGAGCTACTTACCCAAAGACAAAACAAAATGGGCTTACCCTGGGAAGTGAGACACAACACATGATGCACCTCTGGCCTAACCAACCCAGCATCAACAACCCAAGGACCCTTCCGGAAAGCAGCAGTCTCATTCTTTGCCAGAAAAGGAGAAGACTGCAAACAAACAAACCTACCACCAGGACCAAAAGAGTACAAACCCCAGCACCAGAGGAGAGCATGAAGCTCCCCGACCCGACCCCCAGAGGCCAATGTAAACAAGAAAAGAGCCCTCGCCAAACAATCCTGAACCGAAGGAGTCACCACAAACCGAGAAGAAGAGAGAAAGGAGAACACCCGGTCCAACGACCAGGACAGCTCAGACAGCGCATGAACAAGCTAGAGGTGACAACGAATGAGACAGCTTGTGGAATGGTGCAGAAGTAACATCAACACCAAACGTAAGCTGCAGCGGCTATACCAGCGCCACATGATACGAGGCAACAGTATTCGGCATAAGAGGACGGTTCTGGAACAACCATGAAAGGAAGGCCAAGACAACCCTATCAGAGAAAGAAGTACACATACATAGGGATAAGAAATAACTGAAGGCCTGCCAGGAAATTTCATACCGACGCCGAGACGAAGCATGCATGTGGGACACCATCAACGAAGCCACCTGCTCACCATACAAGTGGTAATAGACCCACGTCCAGATGCGAAGACTTGAGAAGATCGAACCAGCCACATAATGGACTGGCCCAATCTGCTGAAAGATGCTGAGTTGCGGGAAGATCCCCGGGTTCGGACACCGAGCAAGCAGTGCCTGAAACCAATGCAGGGCCAGCCACCAAGGAGCCAGAAGAACTATTCTCCCTTTGTAAATCTCCAAGCGAGCTAGGACCTGGAGCAACAGCGGAACCAAGGGGGAAGAGGTACAGGTAACCACACCTCGACCAGTCCTGCCTGAAGGCATCAACCCCGATGGCCTTGCAGTCGGGGGGAAGGGAGCCACATATACCGGGAGACGCCTCGACCACATCCCATAGAAACAGGTGAAGGCAGGACTACAGCCAAAGCAGAGCCTCCGGAGGGAGAAACAACAAGCGGTCCGAGAGTCCCACACAAGACCCAGCCAAGACCGAACCCGAGAGGGAACCAGATGGGACTTCCTCCAGTTCGGAAGTCGTGAAGCATCCGCCGGCAACGAATGCTCTATAAGCCATGCTGCACCCGCCAATGTAGAATTCCCATCAACAAGTCGTGGAGCATCCGCCGGCAACGAATGCTCTATAAGCCATGCTGCACCCGCCGATGCTGAATTCCCATCGACAAGTCATGACAAGTCATCCAGTAACGATATAAAATATTATTGAAAGGAATATAAATTAGTGTAAAAAGTGTTGATAGAGTACAGTATTGTAAGTGTTAATGATTAATTAAGCCTTGACAAAAAGATACTGTACAGTGTAAATATACAGTAAAAATAATTTTCAATAGTGAAGTAGAATTAGAACTCATGTGAATTAGTAGTAAGACTAGCTGTTGTGTGAAGTGAATGCCTGAAAATTGAACCCCCTTGGTTCAGGCAATGAACCACTGGGGGAGCAGTTCGAATGGAGCCGGATCGTCAATCCGCGGGCAACCCGAACCCTCCAGAGAGCAAACCACACAGCCACGAACTCCCGCACGGTGCTTTGGGCCCACAGATGGACGGACCCCACTGTCCTTGGCCGACCTGGTGAGCGCTGGTCACAAAGCCCCAGCAGAGAGACCATGCGTCCTTGAACACAACGAGCGGGGGCTCAGGCAAGCACAAAAGCACTGAACACCAAAAAACCCCAAGAGGAAGCCAGTGATGCAGCAACTGATGCAAATTCCCCGGGGGCCGAACCCAGCAATAGCAAGAGAGGCGGAACGGATGTCCCCGAGGGAACCAGAACAGCCGACGAAGCCAAACCCAACCAAGCGGGTAGACGATCATCGCAAAGTTCAGGCCCCCACACAGACCCTCAAGCAACCGCCGGGTCACCCAGGAGCGCCCCAGAAACGGGCGCATGCGGGACCGCAGCCACAGGAGAGAGACTAGGGGAAGAGACAAGGAAGCGGTCTGAGAGTCCCACACAAGACCCAGCCAGGTCCAAACCTGGGAGGGAACCAGATGGGACTTCCATCTCCGGGTTCACCAAGAACCCGAACCTGGCGAGCTGGGAAAGAACCAAATCCCTGGCTAGCAGACAAGAGGACCGGGTGGGAGCCAAAACCAGCCAGTTGTCGAGGTAGGCCAACACCTGAACACTTAAGATGCAGACGTGCCACAATGACCCAGGTAAGGTGTGTGAGCATGTGAGGTGCCAGGTTCAACCCGAACGGAAGACAACAAAGGCGGTAACCTTGACGCCCCACAACAAAACTGAGCCAGTCCCTGAATCCAGGATGAATCAGGACGGGCCAATAAGCGTCCCGGAGGTCCAGGGACACCATCCAAGAGCCCAGTGCCAACAGGAGCCGAACCTGGGATGGCGTAGTCATCGGAAAGGAGGGACAATGAACCCAGGGGTTCAGATGGGAGAAGTCCAAAATGAACCTCAGGTACGCACAGTCCGGTTTTCGGAACTGGGAACAGCCGGGAAACCCATCCTGAGGGACGTTGTCATTTCGGCCAAGCCCAAGCGCACCCACTTCAAGATGACATGACAGAGCGCAGGGGAAGAGGCCTGCCCTGCCAGCCCCGAAACCCCCGAAGGAGGAGGGGCCACCCAATGCCACCTCAGGAAGAAGGAAATGACCCGAAACACCTATAAATCTTTGGACCAGGCGTGAGTGAAAGGCGCAAACTCCCCCCCCCCCCCCATCACCCCATAAATGGGGCGAACCACGAAAGGGTCGGCGCCCCTTACAAGACCACAAACCTCGCACACAGCGAACACCGCGCCGACCAGACGAAGGTGGGTCCGAAGGCAGGGCCGGAACCGAACCTGGTACCAGTGGCTTACCTCGACGAGCAGAACCCCCAAGCCCTGCCACAGCCCCTCCAGGAAGGCCCCCCTTCCCCAAGGACCCTTGGAGAACTAACAAGTTGGACGACAACTAGCCGAAGCAGCTGCAAATACTGTGCCACGGCAGAATCTGCAAAAAGAAGAGGGCAAAAAGTTTTTGGCCTGTGCCCAGGTCAATTCCAGAGAAAAAGCAAGCACTGCCTGCTGACACGCGAGCTGGGAAGCATAAAACAGTGAAACCACATCCTGCAGGATTTGGGCAAAGAGCTTCAACAAGGCAGCCGACGAGCAAGCTGCCGAGCCCAAGGCACCAGACCCAGGAACGGCCCCAAGCATCCCCACATCCTCCTCAAGCCAGTCCAAAGAAAGCTCCAGGTGGGAAAAGAAATGCAAGGCCAAAGCCAAGAGGCCACAGGTGTGCAAGTTCCCAGCAACCTGTGCAGCTGAAAGGGAGGGAACCTGCACATGAAACTGCACTATGCCAAAATCCCAAGGAAGGGCAGGGACAAACAAGCACTCATTGAGGTGCTCAAGTCAAGGTCACCCCCCCCCCACCCTCCACCCCCAGGAAAACCTGAACCAATGTCAAAGTCTCGTGCCACTCAAGAGTGCGGGAACGACAGAAAGAATGCCAAGCCTCCAAAGCAAACACAGGACAGTCCGCCAGCCAGGACGACTCCGGAAACTTGTAACGGATCCAGAAAGGGAACGACGTCCTAAACCTGAAAGACGACGGAGCCATAACCGAGGCATAATCTGGGTCGCGCAGGAGGTAAGCCACTAGAGCTGCCCGCACCGCATACGGTTGGATGCGGGAAGCCGAAAACCTCCGGAAAGACAGAACCGACGCACCTGGGGGGACACGGAACTGAACCCGGGGCGGGGCAGATACCAAATCCAATTCGTATGTAGAAGGGGGAAAAAAGAGAACCCTACTCCTTGTAACAGTAAGCC